GGGAGGGGTTTCTAACTAACCTGTATCAACCTCCATCTTTGTGGCAGTCTTACTCGAGCGCCGCGATTCTGAGACTTCTGTCTTCTCTTCTGTCGTCGTTGTCAGTTGTGTTTTCTCAGATTCCTGCACAGGTGTCGATGTTCGGGACCTAGAAAATTCACTTTGGGTGAGAGTAGCACTCTGATTTATTCGCGCTTACCTCATCGACTTCTTCGCTGGGGATCCTTCTTTTTCTTTCAAGCTTCTCTTTGGGGTACCCTCTCGTGATTTCATCGCTTTCTTCGGACTTCCCGGACGCGATCCACTTCGGGACGGTGGACGCGGGGAAGCCGATTCCTTGCGTTTTTCTGATGGTGAACGACGGCTCTAAAAATACTATATTTTCTGTTGCATAGTCCAATGTATGTGGGCAGTCCTCCTCCACTATTCTGACAACATAAAAGCTGTTTATCTGTGTTTGTCAGGTGTCATATCTTATCAAAACAACTTGACATTGCAAGATGCCTGCTTAACAAGTGGCTTGTGACTTCCGCTTCTGTGAACAAACTAGAGTCAACGGTATCTAGCGTCACGCCTTACGTCAATTCGACCGAATCTTACGTCACATTGCTCATAAGTTGACGTACCATCTGACCTCATGACAACGCTTATGAGCTTTTGTTTTTTCTGCAAGTGCATGGAAGGCACAGAATACTAACAATAAGGATACTCGATGACCGTGGCCATTTCAAATGAAATATGTATCATAAAACGCATTCCGATACGATAACTCAGACTGAGCGTTTTTCAAAACTGATGTGATATACTGAAGAATTAAAATCATTGGAAGGGCCAGTTTTCTGTTTAATGGGGCCAGGTTTTTGCCTCGTGCTACGGAACAATATTCACCTACGCAGCGACAACCAAAAAACTTTGAATGAAACGAGAAAATCGTTTCGCGGTTATGGAAAACATTGAAACAGCTAAGCAAAGTCTAATCTACAACTCATGATAATGGCGAATCAAAAATTGCTCGAGATTCATAAACCTAAAGTAGTGTCAGACAGGAATGCCAAATTCAAACTGCAATTTCCGTACTTCCTGCCTACACATTCAACAAAATTTATCTCGAGTATGTGGCGGTAAATTATAATTTATTGTTTGTCAACAATAATTTTACGTATGGATTACCTCAAGCAAGTGAGATTCGGGCGGGCATGTCTACGAGTAACTGAAGTTGTCGAATTTCTCTACTAAATTTTTATTGACTCCAGATGGATTCTCCAACATGTTTTGGGAAATGCTACATTTGCTATACATAACAAAGAGAGTTCGTATAAATTAATTAGATTTTTGAAAACTGAAACGATATTTTGAAGCGGGATCTATGTGCCGATTCAAGATGACAAATTAGTCGACACTAAACCCTACTTGTACGATCTTCACTCTATTTGTAGGCTATGACTTTACTAATTATGTCTGCACACCTCAAAGTTCGAACTCCCATATTTCTCTATCTTAATCTTCTAGTTCCCTATCGCTCAGAAAAGATGTTTGTCCGAAAATTTTCCACTCCAGCACAGTTCGAGCAGTAAAAGTTGCACTTGAAGAGATTTTATATGATCACCTGCT